CCACCCGCCTCGTCGCGGGCTCCGGCGTCCCGCAGCTGACCGCCGTGATGGACTGCGCGAGGGTCGCGAAGGAGTTCGGCGTCCCCTGCATCGCGGACGGCGGCTTGCGGACGGCAGGGGACATCTGCAAGGCCATCGCCGCCGGCGCCGATACCGTGATGCTGGGGAACCTCCTCGCCGGCATCGACGAGGCCCCGGGGCGGGTCCTCGTGAAGGACGGCAAGAAGGTCAAAATCATCCGCGGCATGGCGGGCTTCGGCGCGAACCTCAGCAAGGCCGAGCGCGAGAAGCGCCGGGACGAGGACGTCTTCAGCGACTTCGTCCCGGAAGGCGTCGAGGGAAGCGTCCCGGTGAAGGGGCCGCTGGCGCCGATTCTACGCCAGCTGGTCGGGGGGCTTCGGTCCGGGATGTCCTACTGCGGCTCCCACAGCATCGCGGAGATGCACAAAAAGGCCCGTTTTATCCGCATGACCGGAGCCGGACTGCGCGAGAGCGGGAGTCATGATATCTCGAAATTGTAGGGCTGCAATCGTAGCCCCAGCAAGGCGAACGTCGAATATAGTGTACATATTTTTTGATGCTTATGTGAAACAACGGACGATGGAAAGTCTGGTTTGGTTATACAAAACCTCGGAACTGCAGTTGGTAGGCAGATATTTGCAATGTGATAGCCTATATATGTGTAAACTTTATTAGTATTATTATTATTATCGTAATGATGAGTTTTCTTGAAAATTTATGAACTCCTAATTGAACCCTCTAAATTCTTTGTCTAACGTGTTTGGATATCGAGTTATACAAGTAACATGAAGACGAAAAAAAATTGAGAATACATCTATCTATATATTTATACATATATATATATATATACATTTTGAATTGGAGAAGAGGGAAAAAGTTAGTTTTTACTTTTTTATATAAGGAAATATAAAAACTTCCGATCTGATTTCCAGTAAGAGTTCATGAAAAAGGAAAAAAAAAATCCGGGACGTGCTTTTGCTTGGGGTTTACTCCGCCGCGCTTGATGAATTGTCTGATCGATTTACAAGGTAACTATAACCTCTCCTACTTTTCATTTTTGCTTGTCTAAAAAGACTTGTATAGGTGTGCGATCAATAAAAAGTTAAGCTCTATTATCGTTCATGAAAAGATAAGATAACCCTTAACGGAAAAAATAGCAACTAACAAAACTAGACGCCCGAATTGATTCCAACGTTTCACTCCCATCAGTGTGACCTTTAGGACTCGGTGTGTGGGTGTGTGGGTGTTTCGCTGCCCAAACAATAAGATCGCATGATTGACCAAACGAGAAGAGAAGCGCACTAACCTCCAAAGGGACGATTATTCTTTTCATGTTCAGCTCGGGCTTCGAGATTGCGCGGTCGCATATCCGGCTTCCGGTCAATTCCGATCTAAATGCGCTCAAACACGTTCTGCGGGACTGGCTGCGCTATACCGAGCAAACGCCTTTGCGAGAAAAGCAAAGCTTCCCGGCGGCGCTTCAGATTGAGGTCCGGCGACCGCCACCGCGTTTAGCCAATTCAACGCCAGGCAAACGGATGGTCGCGACGCCGCTTCAACGAGGCCTCGCGGCCTGGCGACGGCGCTCCGGGGATTCTCTTTTTACAACTGAACCCCAAACACCATTCAGGGGAAATAACCCGCTAAACCACACCAAAGAAGAGGAATCCGCGCATGTCTTTGTCAAGTCCGTCCCGCTCGAGTTGTGGACCGCGCTGCTGCCGTGGGAAGTCCAGCGAGGGCTCTCCGGGAGCGTCCTGGAGGAGACTTCGCCCCTCCCACCCGACGACTCCGCAGGGGTGGAAAGCGATCCGGCCCACCACCCAACGCCCAAAAAGGACGACGACGACGACGATCCGTATGGCGTTGTATCCCCCCCCCACGCCAAAGCCCCCCCCGACGGGTCGAAGCCTCAAAAACGCGCCAACGGCGGTCCCCCCAACGCCCCCCATCGTGGACTTCTCTTCGTTTTGGATGCCGAGCACACCCGCCAGCAGGGGGCGGTTCGCTTCTGGAGCGGCGGCATCCTCCACCCGATCGATGTTCTTTTCTTCGCGGCGACGACCCCCTCGGCCGTGGCGCGGTCCTTTTCCTTTCAGGCCCTACGCCAGGAGGAGGTCGAGCTCAAAGTCAAGGCCCACGAACTCCTCCACGCCGTCGCGGCGCGCTTCTTCCCGAACAACGAGCTGGCCTCCGAGCTCACCGAATTTCAACTTCACACCCACGGCCACCTCGACCCCGTCCTGGCGGGCCGCCGCTCCGCCGATGGGACGCCTGGGCGCTTCGATATTTCGGCGTCTTTCTCGCCCACCGCGCGGGAGGAGGAGATCCCGCGCTTCGTGTTGGAGGCCCCTCGGTATTTTCTCCACCGCAGCCTCGCCGCCGCCCTGCGCGACAGCGCCGCGGCCTACGCGGC